ATAAGAGTTTGAAGTATATTTTCACGCAAAAGAAGTTAAACCTCAGACAAAGGAGATGGTTGGAGCTCATCAAGGATTACGATATGAGATTGCATTACCATCCCGGAAAGGCTAATATAGTAGCTGACGCACTAAGCCGCAAGAGCCATGTCAATACACTAATGACGGGTGAAATACCAATGGAGTTAGCGGAAAATCTTCGTGAACTATGTTTGGAAGTAGTTCCTAGAGGCTATGTAGCAGCATTGGAGATTCAGTCAACTTTGATGGATAGAATCAGAGAAGCTCAGAAGACTGACAAGGAGATTGTCTCTATAAAGGAAAAACTGAGCAAAGGAAAGGCTAAAGGATTTCGTGAGGATGAGCACGACACCCTATGGTTTGAAGACCGTGTTTATGTGCCCAATGACCCGGAGATTAGGAAGTTGATTCTGCAAGAGGCACACGATTCACCATATTCGATTCACCCAGGAAATACCAAGATGTATTTGGATTTGAAAGATATTTTCTGGTGGACCAGAATGAAGAAGGATATTGCGGAGTATGTAGCAGTTTGTGATGTATGTCAGAGAGTAAAGGCAGAGCATCAGAAGCCAGCAGGATTGTTACAACCATTGCCGACACCCGAATGGAAGTGGGATAAGTTAGGCATGGATTTTATCACAGGATTACCCAGGACTCGTTCAGGCTATGACTCGATTTGGGTTATAGTCGATCGGTTGACGAAGGTAGCTCATTTCATCCCGGTAAAGACCACTTACACCAGTGCTAAGTTGGCAAAGATATACATGACCAGGATCATATGTTTGCATGGAGTTCCCAGGAGTATCGTATCAGATAGAGGAACCCAGTTTACCTCAAAGTTCTGAAAGCAGTTGGACAAAACTTTGGGAACCAGGCTAGAATTCAGTACAACTTTTCATCCACAGACAGATGGATAGACCGAGAGAGTCAATCAGATTTTAGAGGATATGCTGAGAGCTTGTGCGCTAGATTACGGATCCAGTTGGGACGACAATTTGCCATATACAGAGTTCTCTTACAACAACAGTTACCAAACCAGTTTAAAGATGACCCCTTTCCAAGCCTTGTATGGAAGGAGGTGCAGGACACCGTTGTCATGGGACGAAGTTGGAGACCGCCAGTTGTTTGGACCTGACTTGATTAAAGAGTCTAAACAGAAGGTGAAGTTGATTCGCGATAGGCTCAAGGTAGCTCAGTCCAGACAGAAGAGTTATGCAGATTCTAAACGCAAGGAGACGGTTTACGAAGTCGGAGATAGAGCTTATCTTCGAGTATCTCCACTTTGGGGAACAAAGCGTTTTGGAGTTAAAGGAAAGTTAGCGCCACGATTTGTAGGACCATATCAAGTTTTGGAGCGTATGGAAGAAGTGGCCTATAAGTTGGAATTACCTGAAGGATTGTCAGGAGTTCATGACGTGTTCCACGTTTCCCAGTTGAAGAAGTGTCACGCGGAGATGGCTGACATACGCTTGAGAGACACAGTGCCATTGAAAACAATTCAGTTGGATAACGATTTGACCTACGAGGAGAAACCAATTAAGATTCTCGAGTTTGCCAGCCGAGTCACTCGCAGCAAGGTTATCAAGTTTTGCAAAGTTCAGTGGAGCAACCACACGGAGGATGAAACCATCTGGGAGCGAGAGGAAGATTTGCTCACGGACCACCCTCACCTATTTTCTAGCCAACCCGAATCTCGAGGGCGAGATTCATCTTAAGGGGGGGTAGGTTTGTAACATCCCAAATTTTCAATTTGGAATGTTATACATTAGATCATCATTGCATATCATATTTTATTTGCTTTTGGTTTTGATCCTAGAATTTCTACGCAACTCAAGGACCCACGGAGAGAGTTGGGGAATTCATTATTTTCATATTTAAGTTTTCTCAAATTTTGAGAATAGGGTCATTTGATTTTATTTATTTTATCATCAATTATTTCTATTACAAAAATATGAGAGAGGGAATAAAATGACTTTTCCAAAATAAAGAAATATTGAGGATTTAATAATAAAATTAAATAAGATTTTATTTCGGAGTTTTTCGGTATTTTATTTGAATTTAGGAAAAATATGTGTTTTTCAAAATTGCATTTAGGCCTCAAATAAATATTCACCTTGTGAGTCTTGATTTTAGAAGCCCGGGAAAATTTATTTCAGGATTTCTGGAGTCCGTTTAGTATTTCTTTTTATTTTTCTTCTACGCGTAATTATTAAAAAAAAACGAACCGACCTAGGGCCGTGTCCGACTAGGACTCCCGGCCCGTTAGGCTATATAAGCCGGGGGGGCCCAGCCGAAGCCAGCGCCAGCCCCAGCCGGACCCTAGCGCCGCCCGCTGCCGCCGCCTCGATTTCCGCGCCGTTTTTTTTCGAAAAACCTTCGGTTTTTCAGTGGTTTTTTTAGTTTCATTTTTTTAAATAGATCGGTTTTTCCGGTTTATTTGAATAGCGAGCGTTCGTTCGTTCGTTCGTTCTAGCGAACGTTCGTCATTTTTTTTTCTCGGATTAAATCCGTGATTTTTCTGATCGCGATTCTTGATCCGATTTTCTTTTTAGTATAACTTTTCGCTCGTTTATCGGAATCAGGCGATTCAAGCACCTAGAGTTTCGTCTCGAAACCCTCTAACCGTTTAACCAACTTAAACAAATTTTTGCTACTGTAAAATTTGCCTTAGATCCAGATTAGTAGAACGAAGTTGTTTTCTTACGCCGTTTGACTTTCTTTGCTTCGTTCGAGTTGATTCTTTTTGCAAACCGGAGTTCTTAAGTTGAACCTTCTGGTTAGATCTCTTATTTGAGTTTTATCCGTGCATTAGATGGGTACTTATTGTATGCTTGTTTGTTTGTTTGCGATAGAGTACCCGGAGTGCGCCGCTTATTATTTTGAATCGCTAGGTTTCCCTGATCATCAGCAAGGCAAGTAACACTTTGATCATACCTTTTCTACTACCCAGTTTTATTGCATTAGTTCAATCCTCACACATTGCATGATTAGGATCTAATTAAATTGTGGGATGGGAAGTAGTAGAGGTAGTACCTATTACCTGTTTATTATCAAACCTTTGGGAGTTACTTCTACTTTTGCTTTTTATGCCATGCTATGCTAGTAGACGTGGATTGGGTGAGTGATATCCATGACAGATGTGAGTTTGTTAATTAATGGTTTATCTAAGGTGGCAACTTAAATACACATCTGGGTGGATTGAGGCACCTGGGTATTCCAGGACTTGCCTGTTTTCTTTTGGACCGCCACTAAGGCTTAAAGGGATCATGAGACTATTCATACTAGAAACTTCCGTGTGCAGCCACAAGCTATTATGGGCTCTAGCATAGTTGACTAAGTCGTGCAAACTCTTACAGTGGTAGACTAGCAGATGTAGGGGATGTAGGTGGTACGGTCTACCCGATCGTAAGGTGCTAGCATTTCTGTAAGACTATGTCTCGTTCATCCGTCTTCTCAAACACCATGTAGTGCGAGAAACCAAACGGAGGCGATCGAGTCTTGTGAGGAAAAGTGCGCAAACCTCTACAGAGTGTTTTAAAGTAATCATGGTTAGCTGTGTCCCCGGTTATGGACATATTGAGTATCTAGTACCTGGATTATCATGTGAATCTCAACATGTTACTTTAAATTAAGTTTGTTGGGTTTTGTTTAATGATGATTACTTTAATTGGGATTGAGGATGCTGTCAACCATTCTCAATGTTTAACAACCACCATGATAGTTAAATAAAATTTATTCCTTTGCAGTAGGGAAAATTTGGCTTTACGCAAAACTGTAACCATAGAGCTTTCTACCAGCCAAATATGCATATAGTATAGCAGTTTCATTCCATTACTCTCTATGTGTTACCTTGCCAGCATATTCCATGTGCTGACCCGTTTCGGGCTGCAACGTTAATGTTGCATACTTTTCAGACGACGATTAAGGGGTTTTTAGGCCGTGGTTCTATACTCAGTGATGCCGTTGGAGTTGATGGACTCACTTATCTTCCAAGCCTTCCGCTGTTATCATTATTAGATAGCCTTAAGCCATATTTATTGTAATAAGTTTTCTTTGGAGACACTCGATGTAATAAGTGTGTGATTGCTACTCTGTTATAAATCCTCCGAGTACTGTGTGGTGTCAGCATTACTGATCCAGGGATGACACCGGAGCACAGAGATCAGACTGTTTGAGGTCTGGTCGCTACAATGAGCAATTAACTAGGCAATTGTTTTCTGCTTAATTAATCGATGAGGCAAATCTTTTGCCTCAGTTTTGAAAAAAAGGGCAACTGAGAAGAATATGGCGCATCATCTCAGGCTCCGAGCGAGGCGGCCTACCGTCCAGCATCGATCCAAGCTAACGAGCCAGTGAAAGAATTTCACTTTTGGGGGCGCCTAACTCTTCCAGATAAGCTTCTAGGTGCTGCAGGTGGTCCAATCGTGGAAGGAAGGCATGTAGGCAGATTTGGCAATGTAAGTGCCAAAAGCGTTCCACATCCACACAAGCCGGTCGGGCACGTCGGAGAGCGTCGTGGCCTCGATCAGGCGTCACAGTAGGAGGTACTGGCTGATTTCGCCATGGATGTCTCGCGCCCATAGGTGTCCCGGCGAGCCCTCGGCGACCGACCTGGCCTTTCTGCATCTTTTAGGAATGCATGTGTGGAGAAAGGGGGCGATCTCGCGAACAAAGCGTCTCTTGTGACTTGAAATGGTCTAATTAAACACAATAAAAGTCGCGCAATGTGTGCACTCTCACGGCTTTGGACGCACGAGGCGTGGGGAGGTGTTGTGCACACCCGAATTGACCCAGATAACACCTCCCAAGGTAAATTCGCACCACCCCTACCCAGGACAACGCCTCCCCAAGGTAAATTCGCCCCACCCCTCTCTCATCTTCTAAAAAAAATTCTCACCCTCCTCTTCTCCTCCTCGAGTGGCGGCTAGGGTTATCGCTGCCGCTGCCGCTGCCGCCGTCGCCCCACTTTTTATCTCATGTGCTTCGGCGAGGTGGGTCAAGCTAGCGCACGCGCAAAGAGTTGCTCCGGCGCGGGCGCCGCTGAGGTGGAGGTGGAGCTACGGCGGCTGGTGGTGGACGGTCGTCACGTCGATGTTAACTTCGACGAGTTCCATCACCTCCACTACTACCTCAGGTTCCTTGCTTGCTCGCCGTTGGGTCCGATCGAGGCTCAGTCCTCACCCTTGTGGCCATATCCCTCTCTATCGGAACCAACGGCCAAATCGGGCTTGTCGTTCGGCGGAGGCAGGGTCAAGGAGGAGGAGGCAGTGAACGGAGAAGGAAGGAGGCGCTGGGGTGCCAGCGGATGTTCACCTGCCACCTTGCTTGTTGTTCGCTAGGGCAGTAGGCCTGCGGGGATGACATGGGAACCTCCTGAGGTGTCAAAAGTCACAGCACCGTATTCCTCCCATGTTTTTGGTGGATGGACTACAGCCCCATGGTGTTAAGGTACTTGCTTGTCATTCCACTCATCAGTTACGACGCGTTTGGTTCGGCCCCGGTAACGCATTCGCTTCGCCGTATCAGGAAGCGCCGCTTCCGATTAATTCTACGCAATACGTCCATTGTTTGGTTGGTGCGGCCGAGTCCTGTTTTTCTAATCCCCTCCGATCGGGCGGTTTAGCTTTTCTGAAGCGATGTATCAGGAGGCGCTGCTACGGAAAACATCGTGCGCGAAACAAACGCCAGCTACGGTTTTGGAAGTCGGTGTAATCGGAAGCCGCGCCTTTTTTGCGGAACCAAACGCGTCGTTAGTTACTCTCGGTTGCTTTGTATAGTTACTGCTATTGTTGATTCGGCATGTAACATGCGGGTTATAGATGCAGATTAATTCATTAGGCACATCATCAGAGAGAGAGAGAGAGAGAGATGAACTGAACTGAACTGAACTGAACATTTCAGAACAAGCAAACAAAAAGTTCAGTTCAAACAAACAGGTGCTCCTCTCCCGATCGCCCGAACCCAAAGACTCGCTCCTTCCTGCCAACACCAGGTGCTCCTCTCTGCTTGCGTTGCTGCCGTGCTCGGTGAAATCCAGTAGGAGCACGTTTTGACTCTGCTTTTGTGAAAATTTCTTACTTCTCCTTCTCGTTGGTTCTGTCTAGGTCTCTGATAAGAGAGGATTGACACTTTGTTTTGTCAGGCAGGCTAGAGTTTACTTTTGCAAACAACCATAAGAAATTAAGAATCATAATGACTTTTTGAAGCAGAAAAATGCACTTCAAGATGAAAGGAAAAAAAATAGTGTTACAGCTGAAATCGATAGACTAATTAAAGATCTTTGTCAAGGCACAATAGTATATGCTCTATGCATGTTGTTTCTGTATCTCATATGAATAATTCATAAGGTCAAACACATTTGTTCTTGCTGCTTCACCATCAATTGTACGGTGCAACTCTGAATTTTTAAATATTCGAAGTGGTAACACTGTGCCCGTGTGACATCTTCAGGAAAAATTGGTTCATTGACAAGATCAAAAGGGAAAGGAGGTAGTACATTCAGGCACTGAAAGCTTTACGAAGCCATTTTATGTCATTCATATTTTTCTGCGCAGTGTAACTTGAAATTTTAATAGTGAGGAATATTGTCCAGTTGAAGGTGTTTCCACATAGTTTTTAGATCATTGCATATATTTTAACTTTAGGTGCAGCTAAAGCTTTTAGATCATTACATCTTGCTGCAGAGTAGGCATAGTGGACATTGATGGCAAGCACATGCATCATTGGTAACAATGATTTCACAATGTAAGTTACATGGGCCTCATTTAGTGACATAGTGCACATTGATTAATGATTAGAGATTTTTTTATCATGCCACACTTTCATCAGCCTACATAGTTGTGTTTAATAATCCACCTGATACTAATTTGCATTCGCGTGTGTCTGTACTGGGCCAGTGGCATCTTAGACAAGGAAAAAAGTCCATCGACGAGGAATGGCGAAAATATTGGTCATATGTATTGAGGTTTAGCTTCCATGGCTGTCTAATTTTTATACTTTGTAGCTATTTCTTCATCTTAATGCTTCCATGACTCGTGTGGGCTAGAATGTACAGAATGGCCCGTCTGTGATTGCATGATCTAGGTATTCTGGACTGACTACTCACAAGGCTTGATGAAAGAATATTTAAAGATGAAGTTATTGCTGGAACTAATAAAGGTCAGTGTATTTGTATCCCTAGGATTGCCTGAATGCACCAAGTACCAAATGGCGGTTTACTCTTCGCCGTTGCCAAATTTCTGTTTGTTTGTGTTATGGGATGACTATCAATAAGAGTCAAGAGCAAGCACTTTCCAAACTGCGTGTTTATTTCAGAACCGGGTGTTTTCTCTTCTGTTTGTTTGTGTTATGGGATGACTATCAATAAGAGTCAAGAGCAAGCACTTTCCAAACTGCGTGTTTATTTCAGAACCGGGTGTTTTCTCATGGGCAATTATATGTTGATGTTTTGCAAGTTTCATCCCTGAAAGGACTGGAAATTCTAGCAGAAGATGATCCGTGGTGTTCCAACAAATACTACTACAAATATTGTCTGCAAAGAAATCATCCGTGCTTTACAAGCAAGTGTTATAATTTCTTCTATTGGCACATATTTTTCCCTGCCACATTTTTTTCTCTGGTTCCTGTATTGAATTACTGATACAGTGTCGTTGTGGATGTTTGACGAAGCAGCGCCAACTATGAGATAGTTATTTTGATGGTCACAAGCGCTTCAGCAGACCTGTTCTGACTTTCTGCTCTACTTGTGTTTGTGAAAATTCTGAACATTGTGCCATGTCAGACAGTTTATCCTACATCTGCATATTTAGTCGCACATTTTGTTGTACTAGTAAGTTTGCACGTGCAACGCACGTCTTTACTAATGCTCGTTTTGAAGATCGAAAATAGTTTCATGCCAACGGGATACATCTATTCCTAACTAAAAACACGACAGTTTTAATTATATAAGTTTGCACGTGCAGCACACAATAAAAGCTCAGCAAGAAATTTTCTCCGCCCCTTCAAAATATATGTGAACCAAATAAGCTACTAATCTTCTTTTAAATTAGACCAATGCTCCCTTGATCAATTGAAATTTCATAAATTTGGTACATTAAATAACTACTGAGGGAACATAAAAGGACTTATTACGTATCTTTTCTAAATATATAATGTATATCTTCATCAAAGTCTTCCATGTTGTAATTCAGCTTCATGTGCATATAATTCCTAATGTTAGCAATAATGGACATTAAGATATGGCCAATCCAAACATAAAGAAATGACAAAGTGGAGTAGAGCTAACACAACCAAAAGTGCTGATGGCATCTTAATTCGAAATATGAAATTAAAATGTCATGTAAATTTAAATTAGCGTAGCTCACACGCAGCAAAATTTAAGGTGTCTGTGCAAAATATTTGGATGGCAACAAATGTGACACAAAAGGATAGATTCCGCAAAAGCTGCTCCCTGTAGCTTCGTTGAGGATGGGGACGGCGAGGATTCACGTGTTAGATGTTGGATCCGTGGTCGGGTGGCTGGACCATTGCCGGAGGGGCGAGCGGGATAGGGGAACCTGTACATGTTTCTATACATTCAGTTCAGTCTAGTTGTAGCAAGTGCAGTTCATTCTGTTCAGAGTTAAACATGGAAGGCATGTGCATTTGGAACAAGACCTTCCTTAGTAACAGTGTTCATCAATTAAAGCATGCGTTTGAAACAAAAACTAAATAAGAAACATCTATCAAATTTAGATCAGTGTATCCACTAAGTCCTAAAATCATGCAAGGCACTATCACCAACAGACGGTAACATTTCATGCCATTCTTCAATCTTCAATCTGTATGTGTGGGCTCGTGGTTGGCCGTACCTGCACATAAGGTGACCTATAATCAATACGCCTCGAGTGCAACTCAGCAAGCAAGTGCATGCATCTCGTACATATGCAGACATCGCATAAACAAAGTGCAAGGCCGTGATTTGCAAACTGTAGTCGCTAGCTAGCAGGTAGCAGCATGCACGAAGAAGCTAGCTAGCTTGTGCTCCTGTCTTCGGTTTCTATTTTCATAATGGTAACAAAATGCATCAATTTCAGGGTTCAAATCAACACAAACAGCAGAAAATTCAATGGAGACAAACACTCCAATCCATCTTGATATCCCCTAGATATGAACCAACGATCCATCAAACGTAGGTTAATTTAACAGGTATGACGTTACTGTAAATCTATTACCTGCTTGGCCTTGGATTCAGCTTGTAAGATCTCCAGCACCTCCCTGTCAGGGTTGACCCCGTACTGCGCTTACACATTCATCTTCATGGACTCCAGCAAAGGGATCAGAGCTTCACTTGCAGGTAAAACCACATACAACAATGTCAGTTGCAATCTTTGTGAAACAGAAAAGAGAAGAATTTGATGTCTTGATATATACGTGTACCGGTGCTGTTCCAGAGGCCCTTATGATGGCGTCTGCTCCCGCCTTGGGGAGGACGCCATGCGTGCCCTATGGAGACCGGAAGGACCTCCGTCACCACACCGGCAAGCGGCGCCTGATCTCTCTTGGCCGGCATCAAGGAGGCGATGCGACGAATGACGCCCTCCGGCGTGGCTGCCAGCGGACACGGCCACTCCCGGGGCAGCTGGTCCTCATACACGGCCACGACATCTCCCTGCAGGCGGCGCTACATGCCCCAGCGGCACCGTCCGGCGTGAAGCGGCGGCCGACCCGGCAGGACGTCCTAGAGGTGGAGGCGTTTTGCCAAGACAGATCGTATCGAGATCGAGGGGACGTGATTTGAGTGGGATTAGTTTTTAGAGGAGAACGTGCGTGATGCGTGCGTGCATTGGATTAGTGGCTAGTTAGCGGGAGGCAGCGGTTTTGTTTTTTGTGTTTTCCTTTGAAAGAGGCAATAGAGGATAGCGGCTAGGCTAATGGCATGGTGGGTAATTAAAGCATAAAACACGTTTAGTACGTTGGAGCAATGTAGACCGTCAGATCACATGATTTGATGGATAGGATGAATTGGTTCTCCGCCCTTTCGTGCTTTTATAGGGGTAGTAGACTAAAGTATGTGGACAGCCTATCCTACTCCCTCCATTCCAAAACAAGTGTCATGGTTCGTACAACTATGGCATTGATGCCTTTTTACATATAACATAAATATTACTACTGAGTTTGATTGTTACTAAATGATGGGTTACATATCTACACCAGGGCCATGGTTCCGTTGCATTTAGGTGCGACCAAGAAAGATGCAGAAAAGAGAGTGGCACTTCAGTTTCTTTAGGCTGCACAAGAATTTCTCGCGTGTAGAGTAACTTGGTGAGGTCCGAATGGCTCTCCTCATACTTACCATACAGAGGAGTA